AAAAAAAAAATGCAGTTGAGCGAAGACGGAAGGGAGGGAAAAAACGCTGAATAATATCGGGTGAAATAAACAATTCTGTACTACACCTCATCATTCAAGCCCTTGACTTTAAATTTTGAAATTTTAAGTAAAAGTTCAAACAACTCGTGATAATGATAATTTTCTGCTTAGTAAGCTTCAAAAGCAAAAACAAAACCCTGCTACTAATATACTGGCTTCATATTCAACTGTTCTGCTGCAATAACCCGTTTCTTCGCCGTTGTTTTTTCCGATAGGTAAAGTTTGAAACGAAGAAGTTTCTACTTCCTTCCTGATGTCTTTCAGCACAGCTACCCGTTTAAGAAGTGGTTTACATGCAAAGAGATATCTTTTGAACTCACCAGTAAAGTTTTGCTAAAAACTGCTTTTAATGCTTCATCAAATTCATTAAAGCCTAGAAATTTCTTGCTTTCACATTCGTTTAGGATTTCAGTGGTATGCGACTTCGACAATGTAAAGAATAAAAAGTAAAAATAAATATAGATGCATTAAAGCATAATAATAAAGTTGCAGTAATCCTTTTCTCCCTAGTCTGGCTGGACAATCACTCTTACTGTTTAAAATAGGACCTCATCCAATGAGGAAACAAAAGTAAGACGGGGAGTAAAGGCAGCAGCATAAAGCATTTAGATGAGCATAACTATTAAACGAGACCGCATTTCAAAGTTACATTGGAAGGAAACGAGCTAATCAAAAAAATGTCGCCAAATACTGTTAAGCGAGAGCGAATAACAGAAATATGTTCATAAAACTGCTGAAACTCCGTCTGCAAAGACGCTTCACCTTCGTCCTCAGTCTGACCAATCCTTAAAAAATATTCCTCCATTTCCTCTTAAAAAGTGGCGACAAATCATCCCCAACGCACTGGCATACATTTGAAAGCTTGTTAACTCCGATTTACCATCCTACAGCAATTCGTATTGACGTAAATGAATGCGCTGTATTATATCCCTGCAGTCATTAAATACCCGCCTGATGTTCTCCGTGTCAACTGCACATGTAAAATGCGGGTAACAGTGATGTCGTCCGTCACCAGCAGCTGTTGATATCCGCTAGAATTATATTCTTTACATATTAAATACAACATTGAAATCCATTCCGAACGTTATTTAAATGTTGCCAAAACTGTTAACTAAAGAATAATTCACGTAAAACCAATAAGTGTTTTTTTATTCTATCAAACTTATTAAATCCGCTCTCAGTCAGACAGAAGCAGATATCCCAAAACTAAAGTGAGCAAACATTTCCAAAAAAAAAATAGGTTTATTGGAATATCCACATCTGATAAAAGCAAAAAATCATTTTTTAAATCTTGACTACAACACAAAGAGTATTTTCCCAACACATGACCCCAAAGACCTATACCTCTATGCTATAGAATTGTCGCAGAAGACTCTGGTAGGCGTAAAATACGCCAAACTGGTCATGGAACGTTTAGCTTGAGTTTAGTAAACTCAAAACAAGTGAAAACAGCGCGTCATTCATACGTGAGGATCTCACCGAGAAAAATGTCATACATATTTGGGTTATCTCACTTTTTTCATCTCCTCAAGCATCTTGAAAAGGACAAACCTCACTCTTTCCTAAATGCTCTTTTGCGGGGTATACTCACTTCTGAAAGAATCTTACCCGCCCACCATGCTCTTGAAACCATCCCCAAGAACAATTAAACAAATCGCCCTCAGTTAAAAATTTTCGGCACAAACACCAAATTGCATTTTCAGAAGCCGCGGATGTGTTACTTAAAAATAAGACACGAACCTCCAAATATTTTCGGCGCAGAACTAGAAAAACTTTATTAAATTTTGCTGTTTTATTAAAGTCTCAATTTTTCAAAATTTAAAAAACCAAAGAGAGGACCTATGAAAGTGAATTCCTTGTAAAACTGACACCCCTTAAAGGCATAAAATTGCGGAGTTTCTGCTCGAAATGAGGAACTTCCCTAGAGGAACTACTCTATGCTAGAATCTTGCCTAACAAACAACTCCCTAAGTGACTGCTAACTTTAAATTTTTTAGATCTTCAATGTCCGCTATTTTTCAACAGATTTCATTCTACCTAAAGCCGTTAAAAAAGTCAGTAGGTATAATGAAAGTAAAAGTTCAAAACGTACAAAAAATAATCATTTTAAACTTTAGAAAAATCCATCTTGAGTAAAATTGTGTGCTTCCTAATGTGTTAAAATTTGGCGCTGCACCTCTGACGAGATCGACAGTTACGCGCTAGAGAAGGATGATGAGACTAATAACAGTCCGTTGCCGCTGCATTAGTTACATGCGTTTTACAGTGGCGAAATTATCTTCAGCCGCAATATCCGTCTCTGAAAGCCGAAATGACTATTACAAAGATTTAATTTGTTAAAACTTCTTTCAAGAAGTTCTATCTTTTACGAAGACTTTCAAAAGTATTCTGAACTGCAACATGCCACCTGTTCCAACATCCTTACTTCACAATTTTTGAGCTGAACTGTGACACTTGAAGAGTAGCACTGCTCATTGAAGCAACCGATGTGGTGTCCATAGAATAACAGTACAAGTTTTCTAGTTCTTGCTTTTTTAAAAGGATCTCCTAAATCTTGCAAACAAAATTCTGTAAGCTATGATGAAGCAACAAGGTGGGGTAAAAAACGATGTCCCTTCTAATACGCCTGGTAGCAAAAAAAAAAAGAATGTTAATTTTGGAAAGATTCAAGGGACCTGATGCCTTAACCACTCAAATGCAAGATAAAGCTTTTTCTAAAATCCATAAAATTTAGGTAATTACAGCAAGAAATGTTGAGAACAAAACCGTTTATTTGCTTATACAACAATAACATTGATGGTGTGAACTGGAGAATGCTTGCAGCAGCAAGAAAGATTTTTCTTACCTACACTGTCAAAGCCATATCCGCCATTTGTCATCCTACGCTCAAAAACCAAAAAACCTTTGCCACTTGAAATGATCCAGTGTTTTCAGCTCTGAAAACTGCCGCTGAGATTGATTTTTCAGTAACAACGCTCAACTACAACCGCTTAAGCTGGAGAGGAAACTGATCTGGTAAACAAAGCTGGAAAACATGCGACCATCATAAGTCTGAACACCAAGCTGCAAATCTTTTGTAAAAAAAAAAGCATTTCTCAAAGAAATCCTGAAAAACTCAAAAAGAATATTTTGGAAACAGTTTTTCTGTAGCTTTCAAAAAACAGATGCTTCAGACAACAGCCTTGCCACCTAAATGCAAACGACTGTGACAACGAACTCACATCACTTTCCAGCCCATAACAATCAAGCCCATTATTGGCAGATCATAAAATCCTGCACAAACCGTTCTCTAAAAAGAAAGCTCATGATTACTTTCTAACACGCTTTTAAATTTGTTTCTCTTATACTTACCCACCTAATGAATACACTTAATAATTGCTCAAAAACAGAAAGCATAGATAACAAAAAAAAACCAAAAGCTCGGCTACGTTGAACCACGAATGTCAATTCACGCACTTTAAAACAGCAAAACTATCTCCAGTTGCGGCTATGAACACCCGACATTTTCTAGCTCATTTAGACTAGTGGCCCTATTTTTTTTCGTCCCAAGAAGCCTTACCCACCGTAGAGGATATGGAACTACCAACCCGAGCAAGGTACTAGCATGCAGCACCATGCACAAAAAAGCATCATTCGAGCAGTAATCCACTGACATGCAGCACGACTACTCCTAACTTCCCAAGCGAGTCCATTTACAAATGCGACTGTTCGAGTGTCGACGGGTTTGCGCGGTAGACTACAGTGGCGCAGAAGTTGACGATTGCTTGTTACGAAGAAACAGGAAGAATGCGTGTAGGCTTCTGTATACTATCAACACAGCAGAGAATGTGAAACAGAAAATAATTTAGTCAGCGTTAGAAGACCACGTATTTTTACGCGATATAGGGTTGAATCACTTGAGTTCTGATGGATCAAATCGGTACATTTAACCTAACATCCAACTCAGCAAGAGCTGCTGCTTAGATTTCTGCTTCAGAAGCACAAAAGCACCTTCAGTTTTATAAACTACACTGAATGGCACATTGGCAATTCAGAAATTTTTTCAGAACCCATGCTTCTTGCGGAAAAACTGCACCAGGATAAAAATGACAAGTTTGGGACCAGATATGGAAAACCAACCGCATCCATTACTTGACCTTTGCGATAGAGGAATATTTTAAGCAGCGTCTAAAAAGTTTTTCCGTGATTAGTTAAAGGAGCGAGAGGAGGAGCAAGCTTTGTCAGTTCCGCTCATTACGCTTCCTTTTCTTTTTTTTTTTTCTGTTCTGTACCTGTGTTCTAAAAATGGATCTTTGCTGACTTCTTAAGCCGTTTTATCGCTTTCATCGGCCGTCCCATAATCAAGAAGACCATTCGATTTCCAATCATTGAGTAAACCAACCAATTTCACTTCCTTCCAAATCCAGAGAAAGACTTGCTAAAAGTCACCAACTTTTGTGTCTCATACATACTCGTATGCAACCAACCATAGACGGGTCGCGTTGGCTGTGTGTCGGAGAAGTGGGGAGGTATCTCTCATTTTTATCAATCAAAAATACTACATATGAAATCCATAGACTACGCCAAAAAAAAGCGAGCTTCCGATTAGCGTTATTCCCTGTAGGCAATCAGGGTGGTGCAGCTAGCAGTATAAATGAGAGCCCAACGTTTGATGTGACGCGAGCTCTAAAGAGCAGTGCGTTTTATGCGTAAAAGGGCGCAGAAGTTAAGAAGATTCTACAATGCTTGAAAATTCTAGGAAGAAACTTCCAAGGCTTAAAAGACATCCCCCTACAGCCAACTTGTCAAAGTTCTAGGCGTACAGGCAAAAATAAATTGAATCCTTTTAAAATTATTCGGTTTAATCCCTTAAACTAACTAGGAAACAAAAACTTCAAAAGAAACCTTAATTCACCAATCAACTGGCAAAAGTAGTAAATTCTTAAACTCCTTTATAACGCCAAAATATGTACTATATGCATAATTCTGAAAGACAGAAGACGATAGCAAGATAACGCCAGAATAAAGATTATTTTCAGAAACTCTAAAAAACAACGATCCGCTAATATTTCAGAAAAGAACAAAATTTTTATTTTTTTCCTAGAAGACTAACAAGTTTTCAACAACAAAAAACACTAGATTTTTATAAATTTAAAACTAAGATTTTTATAGCCGCCTCTGTGGGTTCCAGAAGCAGTTTGCAACAGTACTGCCGAAGTAAAATGAGTTGAATTACCGTAAAAGCAGAAAGCTTTTGTCAAATCCACATTCTTTTCTGTCTCGTAATCCTCGACTCAAAAAAACATTAATTAATAATAATATTATTGGTATATACGCAGAACGCTACATAAAATGTTTGATCTGATTAAAGACACATCCTTTACTCCGTATTTTTAGTTGAAAACTTAGTTTTATTACCTCTATATAACTGTTTTGCAAAACTAAATAATTTGATATGTATTCAAAGGTAGAAGAAATAATAATCATAGTAAACTGAAAATCATCAAAATTACAGTGTAGCAAAGCAAAAACAAGCGCTTTAAGCAGAAACCTGACGATTCTGCGGATTTGGAGGATAGCTTAGCGAAGAATTTACTTTTGCCGGTTCTCTTTTCGATACTTTATAACAAGGTCCAGGGTATATTAAACGTGAAAATTAAAAAAATTTTGAGATATCATATACACAGACCATTCCATACCAAGTAGCACAATTTTTTAACTTAATATCTCAAATTTTTACTTTTTTGCCCCTTTGAAACACTTACTAACCAAGTTTGAAATCCGAAGAGTTTACCTAAAAAAATGCGCTAAGAGCAAAGTCAAAAAAAAAGGCAGCCTTAACTAAAAATAGTCATTGTTTAAAACTACTAATTTCCTTCGTTGACAATAGCTTTTTACAACTTTTACTTTACTCGAAAGGCTGCCTCACGCAGATTAAGACAAATGGTAAGTTGTGCACATCAACAACTTTTATATAAAATATAAAATTCAAATAACAACAAAAATATAAAACATTATTTTTAAAAAAACAACATACTGAATTTTCTAAAAGAGACATATTTCTTGAACACAGAATTTTTTCACAAA